AGAAAGAGAGAGAGAGAGAGAGAGCGGTGTAGCTTGTCATTGTCAATTACAGGAGAATAATGCATGTCCCTCTGACAATTGTTAAATCGTGATCGATACAGTCCAATTCACAATTAAATAAATAATTGAGAATACAACAAAAAATACAAAGATGATGTGGAGCAGGAAGTATTTTCGAATGCTCGACGATCGTTTTCGTAAGGATCCGAGTGTGACTATGATGCAATGAGATATTAAAAATTTCAGAAGATAATAATTACAAGCGTTTAGAGAAACGCTTTATTGTTCATATTCCTGACAAATATATCTTTTAATTACATTATTAGAACATATACGTGTATATAAATATATATTCAACTATCGTTTCTTATCGTTAATAAATTATGAAAAATATAAAAGATCGACATCACGAGTTACAGATACTCCTTAGTTAACAATATCAATAATACAGTCTCTGATGATTAATACAACATATGAGATGTTTCTCATTTACAAGTATCCCTATAATAATTCACTTAATAATGCTTTACGTATTCGATAAACTATATCACAGATAAATGTCACTTCTGAAAACTCATATATATATATATATATGAGAGTCCCTTTAATAACATTGTCATACGAACAGGCGTTTCATAGTCTGTACCGTAGCCATCTTGCATCTAGGGTCCAGACTATGACATACCTGACTTTGCGTGGCGATCTGAAACCATTCGCGGAGATAAGAACACATTCGTCGTGTCAACAAAATCACCGTGACACGCGAGGACTCTCGAAATTTCTTCGAACGTAACACGCGCGCGTTCTGCCGAACAAATATCAAAGAAGACAAATAAATAAGTGAAAAGAAAAAGAAAGAGAAACAGAGAGGAACGATATTAAAGTCGAGAACGCGCATCCCTTCGGGTTTTAAAAATAGATTCGGATGGAAGCGTGATATTTTTAGCGTGTTTCAGATCGCGTACAATATTCTTTGCGGTATAGAGAAGTTCGTCTTCTTCGAAATCGCGTTTTGTCCCTGTCTTCTTCCGTGGAACACAATTCTCTGCAACAAAAGAAAAACAAAACGGACGCTTAGAGACAGAGGCAGAGTCTTCGTTCTTATGTATCTAGATCGTGTGGCATTCAACCGAGAGAAACTATACACAACACTGTGTACTTAGGTGTATACGTGTCTGTCGTGTACTCGATGTTGTATACGTGTATATACGTGTAAATAAATAAAGAATGATTTACGTTCGATTTACTCGACGCGCGTAACGCGATCCACTATTTCGGACAGAAAATAGTTCGATACGCGGGGCGGTCGTTATTTCGTGCGACAGTAAATCGTCTCGTCGACACAGCGCAGTGTGTGCGACCGTGTTGCTGAAAAGGAAACTTCGAATAACATCGGAAACGATCAAACCGGAGACACAGTTGGAAAAGTGAGTGCGGCAAACTTACATCGGTCCTATCAACTAATCGCCACTCGTTATGTCGTCGATTAGTTGACGAGGACTTTCTGCTGACGGTTAACGGTCGAACACAGGCGGGGCGGGAAGGGGGAAAAAGGAACAACGATTTATCGAGGTAAAAGTAAGTTTAACGACGACCAAATTGATCCCGTTCGTTCTGAGTTTTGCGCCGGGTGAAAACGAGTGTTACCAAAGTTATCGCGACTCCTTTTTTCCCCGACGGTTTTTCTCGTTTTGCGTAGCGACACGTTAACGCTAAACACGTGAGTATCACGCGTTCGCGAACGAGTACGCGCTTACGTGCAACGTACCGGTGACTTTCAACGACGCGAGCCGCACGTTTCCGTGATTCGAGATCGGTAACATACAAGAAGGGGCAGAGATGCTCGGACGTTTTATTGAAAATTTCAAGTTCTCCAAAAGCATCGATTTTATATTTAAGCATCCAGTTTTGAACGTTATATTATTCTGTTGAAATTCGAATTAACAAGATTACCGAATCACGCTGATGATTCGGTAAAATCGCGTTAAGAGCACATCAAATCCGAAGCCTAATAACGTACCATGTAATGCAGGAGGTACGGTTTTGTTTACTTTCACGGTCTAACTATACATTTCTGTCCCTCATTCTATGTACACAGTGAGCGACGCGCCTATATACAATCACATCCTCCCTCCCCTCTTCCTTTCCTGGCTTATTCAGTGAGATTTTCCCTGTTGTTTAACCGGCACAGAACGATTAGTTTCAAAAAGGCAAGAAAGAGTTGGCTTCCATGTATAATGCAACTGTATTTCGAGTAACGATACACTTTCAATATAGCTGGCGGTAAGTATTTTATATTCTAATGTGCTTATCTTATGCGCAAATATAACAAAATAAAAGTTGCAAACAATTCTATGGAGGAGACACTTGGACGAAGCAAAGTCTTTAACCGAACACCCGGCCAAAGAAGTCGCCTTTATCGCGGTGCAGGAAAAGGTGGCACACGTCACAGTGGAAAGGCATAATTTGTGTTTCAAATGCACTTGCATCCTTTTCTAATATTGCGGTCACATTGCGGTGTTGTGTCTAATTTAAAATTGCATTAGAACGCATAACTTGAAAGCGTCGTGGAAATTTTCAATAATTAAAAGACCAACGGATGAACCATTGAAAACGCATGAAATAATGTTTCTTACCTAAACACGCAGCGGCTCATTATTAACGGCATCAACGTTTCAGGCGCACAGACTTCCGGTTAGTATAAAAATTTCTGTGTTATCACTTTGACTGCCATGTCACCCATACGCGGGTGATTCCAAAGCTAAAAAATTAACCTTTAGACGGAAGCATTGGATAAAGTAGCTTTAATTAAGGATCATGAGATTAAGTCGAGTTAAAGCAACGTGGATACAC